TTTAGGCTGGACAAACCTTCATCTTTTCTCTCTCATTATAATCAACACCACCCCTCAAAGCAGGTTTAATGTATTTACCGCATGCTTGGAGACGTGGCACTTGCTAAATCACTGGACAATTTTATTTACTATCTTTACATATCGCTTAACAAACACTCTCCTGGTCACTGCTGGCTGGCTATTCCTAGGGATCGCAGGGAACAACAATAAGTCTGGCTGAAGTCAAGAAGCTCCCTAGATCTTAATTATAAAGTCATAAAACAGACTGACTCCCTTTGCAGTTCTCTTACCATGAAACAAATGAGAATGGAAAATTTATTTCTAATCATAAATCCCAAACCCTTCAGTTTAATTTTTCCCAAGTTAACTTTCTCACGTAGCTAAGCAGCATTTGCCTTCTATTATTAGCTTCTGGCCCAATATCGGCTGACCAGCATCAGTCAAACTGTCTTCATCTCAATGAGCTTGGGGACTCCCAAGGATCTCTGTGTATGCAGACTTCAGCTTGCAGCTTCTAATTATTTTCTAACAGATAATGGAACGCTTAAGTTCAGAGAGGTTAGATTAAACTTGTAAATGGATCAACCCGCTGGATAAAATCATAGCTCGCGAGATCACCTCCTGGAAACACGGAGCTTATTGTTGATGAGATCAAGGGCCCACTTGATTGCCTGTTTCACTGTGACAAACTAGTATATTTTTAGCATCACAGAAGATTCATTATGCTTTCTAATGGCAACATAACTTGGAAACCCATAATAACCCTAGTTTTACTTATCTCTTTGCCTTGATGTAAAGCCACCTGATTGGGCCAATAGCTACATGGCTTGTTAGGAATTCATGATGGCATCAAATAATTTGAGGTGGGGGAGGGAGTTTGCGCCGCATGGAAATTATAGACTGCTGCTTAAACATTGTTGACCCAGACAGCTGTGGGCCTCCTCTGCCTCCCCTCGATAACAGTCCTCTCCTCCTACATATCAATACCCAGGACCTTCATGTTCTCTTACTGCTGCCAGCTTTTGGCAAATGGGGGGAGTTCGGTTCCCTCCTGTTGCCTCCTGGGCCTTCAGGATACATCAGCTACTTTGCCCCAACATCTGCTTTCAGAGAGACCAGCTACAAGAGACATTGCTCCATCAATTCCCTTGGTGATGTGGTGCAGATGAAATGTGGTCTTCCAATCAGAGAGCAGAAGCAATGCCATGTGACTCAGGCAAGTAATCATAGGCTGTGAATAGCTGAAATGAACCACACACTTCACAACTAAGTGCAGAACTCCTCAACCTAGTCTTCCCACAACAGCAGCAACTACCTCCACTAAGGAGAGGAAGTTGGAAGTTCACTCACAGATTTAATTCCCACCGCCTCCTGGAGAGGAGGGAGAAGTATGGGCCACTTCATGGAATTTTCCTTTGCTTTATTCAGCACTGGAAGACAGTTGTGACTATGGTGATAGGTGGAAGAAACAGACGGAAAGAACTGTACCAGGAATGTGTAAAGAAAACAAGGGAAATACTATCTGCTATGCTTCTTTGAAGAAATATCTGAAGTTAGGGATGTATTTTGGTAAGACACTCAGTATTGCCTGACAGGAGGAGGGGGTTGTCTATGCCACGTGCTAACATGTTGCATTATACCATTATAGGCATTATGGATCCATTAGCAGGTTTTCAAGGCTGCTGAAATGACAGCCCAGTTGCCAAATTGCCATGTCTTATTCTCTTTTAGTACAACATTTAGCAGAATCTCAACTGCTCATAAAGCACTCTCTGACTTGCTTTCTGTCGACATTAAGTTTTAACAAGAACCAATGGGCCCTACTGCTAATCTCTCGGTCTTGTACAGAAATATCCAGTATCCCGTACATCGTTCATGTCACTCAAATGACCTAAGACACACCATTGTGTACATGAATCAAAATGAAGTTTATGATGGATTCTACTTGTTACATACACTCTCAGACAGCAATGCTAAACTTAACAGTTTTAAGTGCAAGGTACAAGCATACATATCAAAATGTTAATAATTCCTGACAAGAGGCACAGTTATACTGTATACTTGCAGAACATTGTTGGCTAAGTGCTTTTAACTAACCAAGCCATTGGGAATGTCTGTAAAAATGCTTTTCCAGGACAACATAATTGCTTTGACTTAAAGTTTTGTAGGCATAATAATGTTATTGTGGTGTGATAGTTTGCCGACATTGTTATGCCAAGAAAAATCTCAGTGTAGATGGAGATATACTTTTAGCTTTATATCATTATAGCTTTATATCACTATAGTTTATCTTGCTCCACCAAACCGGAATAAGATCAACTAACATAAGCACTTTTATATTGGCACTACTAAATTGACACTAAAAATAATAATAATACCTAGCTCTTATAATCAGTTTTTATCGGTATATCTCAAAGCACTAGGCTGGCATGATGAAAGTGGCAAAACTTTTAAGTGCAGGCAAGACCTAACTCTCTTACATAAATACATTTTTTTAAAAAGCTACAAGTGAGAGCAGGATTGGGTTCCTGTTTATTCCAAAACACAAAAGATGTAGGGGAAAAAAATCTCTGCCAACAGATCACAATAAAATGGGCATTTGGTGGTTACTTTTAAAGAATGAGATTGATTCTACTGCCACAAATAATTACCCTTAGTTATAGAAAATCCTCAGGGATACAGGTGGTCGCTGTGACCCCTGTGTTATAGCAGCATCTATTGAAGGATGTCATGTTAAGCTAATGCTCTCTCCGTCTTGCTGTCCCTTGTTACTCTACGGACTCCAACAGAGCTACAGCTGGCAATCTGGGCCAGAGTTTTTAGATGTTAGAACTAAGAAGACTCATCTTTAAATTTTCTCCACTTTGTGACCACTGGAGGACAGGGGGAGAAACAGGCTCCTAAGGGACCATAATTTAAAGTGGGACTGAGCCTAACATGACTGCTTTTGATACATGCTACTGTTATAACTTTCTAGAAGGATAAGGAGACATCCCTTATTCCTGAGCAATGTATCAAATGTTATGACATATGCACTGGAGGCAGTGGTCCAGTGAATAAAGCATTGCTCTGGGAATCAGGGTCTTATGCCTGGCTCTGATACTGACCTCAGACAAGTCACTTCCTCTCTCGGTGCTCAGTACCCCCATCTTTACGTGCCCTCCTTTCTGAGCTGCTTTGATATCAAGGGATGACAAGCATTATGTATGCACAATTAGATAGGATTGTTTTCTTATTTTATACTTTATAAACAGACAGGGCCAGATACTCAGCTGGCGTGAACTACGTAGCTCCACTGATGTGAATGAAGCTGTGCCAGATTTACACTGGCTGAGATTTTGGCCCATAGAGTTGAATTCTGCCATTAAGTAGAGAGGCTCAGTTCCCACTGAATGGCCCTTCGTTCTTTGCACATTTATTTCACAGGAAGGCTTGACTATGATGCATCAGGGCCCTAATGTTTCAGATATCTGTAGTTATTACTACTCACTTAGAAGCCTGACAGTTATTTTGCCCATTAAGTAAACATTCGATCCTCCTTAGCCCTCCTCCACTGGGTGTTTCTATCAGAGCAGAAGTCAATATGGCCTACTTTTGCTTACTTCTTTGTTTGTGAACAATAATTATTGATGTCATCAGCATGAACTGTGCAATGCTCTGAAAAGCATTGAAAATACCTTGATCTCAGTGTTAGCCTGACTGCCTGAGAGTTCACACATGGTAATTTGTCTGAAATAGCTGAAGCTGTAATTGTACGTTTCTGCTGGTTTCTCAATGACAGAGTAGACCACATGAGGGGAGCACAGTCTCCATTTGGTTTCTGCTATCATTAATGCTAATCAAGTTACACACACACACACACACACACACAACCTTAGAAATGCAAATGTCTTCAGTGATTTCCCAGTTCAGCAGAGGAATTTTATAATTTAGGGCTTGCCAAAAACAAGTAAAAAACTCATATGGACTGTCAAAATATTGTCATTGCAGGAGACACACATGTTCCTAATGTCAGTGACCTTTTCTCTTAGCACTGAGCTGAAAATTGCACTTACGGACTCCATGAATATAAAACTTATTTATAAAAATATGATCCCAACCTCTCACTAACAACACTCTAGATCAGGGGTTCTCAAACTTCATTGCACCCGCGACCCTCTTCTGACAACAAAAATTACTACACGACCCCAGGAGGGGGCACCAAAAGCTGAGCCCACCCAAGCCCTACCACCCCGGGTGGGGGGTTTGTGTCAAAGCCCAAGCCCCACCGCCCCGTGGGGGGAGGTGGGGGGGGTGGGTGGGGGCAAAGCCAAATCCAAAAGGCTTCAGCTGCAGGCAGAAGGCCTGTAACCTGAGCCCCACCACCCAGGCTTCGGCTTTAACCCTGGGCCCCAGCAAGTCTAAGCCAACCCTGGCGACCCCATTAAAACGGGATCGCGACCCACTTTGGGGTCCCGTCCCACAGTTTGAGAACCCTTGCTCTAGATTATTAAAACTGATGAGCTAATAAAAAATCCAATATACTCAGTTACTTTCCCCTGTTTAAACGTGGTTGCTTATTGCAGCTCCCGGACCCTCATTGCCTGGTGCTGGAGGAAGTTAGAGCAGTCAGGGGCCTACACTGACTTTTGCCACTGAGGACCTCATGCCAGCTGTTCCACCATGCCCCCTTTACACACATGTCCTACCCCCTTTCCTCTAAGGGAGCATAGTAGACAGCGCTCCAGTGGAGACTACCTCTGCATAAAGGGAGTTGTCCACCGGCTACCTCCAGTCATTGTAAGGCCAGACTGGAGAATAGATACAGACTTAATTACGTTTCAGGGCACCTAGTGCCCTTATACAGGCATCCGTTTAACACTGAAATATAAAGAAAAAAAAATTAGGTAGAACATTACCTTTACAATTTGTGAAGATTACAGACTGATTTTTTTTCCCACTGTCAGCACTAGCATGTTATATATAGGCACAGTCAGAGAGGCTGTACACCTCTTACTTACATCCATGAACTCCACATTTGCCTTGGGACCAGTCGTCTCATTAAGGATTTTAATAGCCACAGGAATCTTTACTGTTTCTCCTTCGGGAACCCAAATACCCTAGGGAAAAAAGATACAAAAATTAACTCCACACCAATTGTTAAATCTTTCTCCATGGCTAGGTTTCTTTTCATTATACAATATCCAATTGAGCAAGGAACATTAAAACTCAAAACATACACAGTAAGTGCATTGAATCATAGCAATGTAGGGCTGGAAGGGACCTCAAGAGGTCATCTAGTTCAACCCCTGCACCGAGGTAGGACTAAGTAAACCTAGACCGCCCCTGACAGGTGTTTGTCCAACCTGTTCTTAAAAACTTCCAGTGATCCCACTCCCTTCGAAGCTTATTCCAGAGCTTAGCTACCCTTAGAGTTACAAAGGTTTCTCCTAATATCTAACCTAAATCTCCCTTGCTGCAGATTTAGCTGATTACTTCTTGTCCTACCTTCACTGGCCATGGACAACAAACTGTCCTCTTTATAACAGCCCTTAACATATTTGAAGCCTCTTCTCAGTTCCCCTCTCAGTCTTTTTTTCTCAGGTCCAGGTTTTTTTAACCTTTCATCATAGGTCAGGTTTTCTAAACTTTATCATTTTTGTTGCTCTCCTCTGGACTCTCTCCAATTTGTCCACATTTTTCTTAAAATGTGGTGCCCAGAACTGGACACAGTACTCCAGCTGAGGCCTCACCAGGGCCAAGTAGAGCAGGACAATTACCTCCCATGTCTTACATAAGACAGTCCTATTAATACACCCCAGAATGATATTAGCCTTTTTCGCAAAGTAACTGTGATAAAATCTTAGCCTTAATTATAGGTGCTGGTCCGTTTTCTTGGAATTTTGAAATTTCATCACAAGTTTAATTACAAAATGTTGAAAATGTGATTTTCCCCACTTCTTTTTCAACCAACTCTACTTAGTGCTTCTAAGTACTTTAACTATGACCTTTAAACTGTGGAATCTGAAGTGCTTAATAAACCTTAAGGGAGATTTGCCATTGTTTTTAATGGGGAAAGGATCAAAGGTTAGCTAATTATGCTTCTATTATTATATAAGGAAGATTATTATTATTATACCCACTTTACAGCTTGGTCAAATGAGGTATAGAAATTAACTGGCTTGCACAATGTGCACACTATATCAGTTATTGAGCTACAAATAGAACCACAAAATCCCATTCCTATTCTTTAACGTCAAGACTATCTATCCTGTATATTCGCCATGTTTGTGTGTGACATTATTTTTCTCTACATGGAATAACCCTTGTGTCTATACCAAGTGAAGCTGAAATCAGCAGATGAAACTAGAGGTGTACTCAAGATGCATCATCATACCCAGAGATGAACTCCCCTGACAGGCTGTGGGATGTGGACCTCAGGTTATGATTCAAGCCATCAAGAGCTGGGTCCCACACTGTGATGTCACACTTTCAGTGATCCGTAGGGTTCAAAACAGAAAGAAGGCCACTCGATGAGGTTTAGTGAAGATACTTGCCTTATACACGGTTCCAAAGGCCCCAGAGCCAAGGACCTTGACTCGCTTTAGCTCAGTTTCCTTCAGGATACGAAGCTGTGCTTGGTTGGGTGCTGTGCCACTTGGGGTCAAGGGCTCCACCAGCTGCAAATCAAAATCCACCAGGATTAGACACTGGACACAGGAAGAGCTCGTGAAAATTCCTGTTGAAAATTTTCATCTGGTTCCTACTCATTCCAATTGGCTAACTAGTTATTAGAATAAAGCAATGGATCTAGTGGTGCCAGGGCTATCGATTCTTCAAGTGAACCCCGTCCAGGCCAGTAAAAAACCAACAGAAACCAGCTGAAGGATTCTAGTGGAGTACATAATTTCCACTAGGGGCTGCACGATGGCATTATGAACTGGAAACTGAATCAGTGTCACAATATGTCCCCAATGACTTTTGCTACTTGCAGCAATATAAATGTTTTCTATATGATGGAAACACAGCATTTATTATCAGTGCACCGTATTCTATTTTTGGCAATTTTAGTGCCCTTTTAAAGTGGCTGTTTTTCTCTTGAATAATTGTGACTTATTGGTTCATCAAATTCTTATCCTCTTTTTCGGGGTAAGGCTCATTGCTCTAAGCCAGTGGTTCCCAAACTGGGATTCATGAACCTCTGGGGGTTCACGAAATGTTACAGGGGGTTCTCGGAAAAAAATTCCCTAATGGTAGACAGAGCTGTCCATAGGGACCCCGGGCAGCATGGGGCCAACAGCCCAGAGCCTTAGGGACTTCCAAGAGCTAAGCAGATCAAAGCAAGCACATCTATCACACTGAGGAGATTTAAACTTCAAGGCTCCTTATAAGAAATGGAAAGGGAGGTGGATATTTTTTTCTGTTTTAAAAATTAAATAGGCTGCTAGTGTTGTTTTTAAATTATTATGAAGAACAAGTTTAAGCTTTGTTGTAATGTGCGTTGTTTTCCTGGATTGCTCAAGACCTGAATGCTTGTGTAGGAGGAACTCTTTGAGTTGGTGTCTTAAATACCTTCCTGCTGTTTCACATCTGATACTCCTTGATGAATCATAGGAGCCAGAGGCACCAGTATGGGGGGGTCCCCCCACTTTTCCAGTAGTGCCCCTCCTGGTCCTGGGGTGCGCGGGGGCTTTGCCCCCACACCCCTTTTTTCTACTGGTGCCTCTGATAGGAGCCTTGTCTCATAACAGGCTTAATCAAAAGCGACACAAGCTACAAAAGTGAGATCTTGGAAGAGTGTTGCCATTTTCATAATGTAATAAAAATACTGTAATGATAAATAATTAATAAATAGTGTGTAATAAGCATGTCATACATACAAATTTTATATTTCCAAGATCACTGCTTTTATAATTTATGCTGAGGTAAGGGAGAAAATTCCTGGAAATATTCAGTTTTAGGAGGGGGTTCACGAGACTTGACATTTTAGTGAAAGGGGTTCGCAAGTTGTTAAAGTTTGGGAAAGACTGTTCTAAGCTTTAGTTGTGCCTTAAAGGAGGGCAGCTTTTCAGAAGCAGAAAACATCTGCAGTAGAACAAGAATGTACAGCCCTAACTAATTTATTGGAAGCACTGGTACGTTGTGAATTACGATCCAACAAAGTTTGTGAATGAAGTACAACAGTATGTATGTTCAGTCAAAAAGCCATCCGATCTCAGCAACATACAACCTTTGACTAAAAAACAATGTTTCTTTAAAAAGAAATGAAAAAGAAATGAAAAGGACAATACTCTAAACACTGACAAATAGCCTGTCCTCTCTCAGGATAAGGAAAATAATTAAGGGCTACTCCTACTCAAATTGGTTTGAAACCACTGCAGTATTTCAAAGTGTCTGTTTACAAGGCTAAGTGCATTGTGCTCTTCAGTTTGAACGCTATTATCATGCTTCTGTGAGCATCATGGACTACTTCGTTAGCTGAACAAACTGCTTTGGTGCAAGAAGAAATACCAGTAGCTGGAAATTACTTTTAAAAAGTACTTTCAGAAAATACATAACAAAAACAAACAGCAACAAGCCAAGTGAATGCGGAGAGTTTGACAGCGATATTTTCATAGTTTGCTTCCCTCTTCCCCCCAATATAGTTTACTTTTCAGTACTCATTATGATGGAAGATGTAGGTCAAATGTAAAAAAAAAATAAAAATAGAGATATGTTAGAAGGTGAACACACACAGGGCCACAATCTCTGGTTCACTTCTTAGATTCCCACAGAACTTTCCCCCAGATCATTCCTATTCCCCTTTGTGCTGCCCTGGCAGTGCAAAGGAGATGGAATCTGGGGTTTCACCCATGCCAGGGATTCTCCCAGTCTAAGGCCAACCCTAGAAGATGAAGAGTTGGTGTACCTTGCTCCTCCCACCCTCCTCAACAGCTGACCAGCACAGGGGCACGCTGGGGTGTAGAGCAGCAAGAAGGAGATATAACAAGCGTGGAGGTGTAACCCATTGATCAGTGTGTGTTGATCTGCAGAGGTTATGGATCTGCTACAGACCTCAGCTAGAAAGCCTGGCTCTTTAGCTCAAGCTATAGAAACTCCTACTTTTAGCGGTGGATGTCCCTGGTTCACTCCATGGTGTCTCAGCCAAGATGGCAACTGTCACAAGTGCTCAGCCACTGGGCAGTTCCTTGGGGATGGTTGCCAACTGGCACAGGTTAGAGTTGCAGCCATTCAGGAAGAAGCTTAATGAAAACACAATGTTGCTGTGGAAGTCTTTTGGGATCAATCTCACGCCACTGAATTCAATGGGAGCAAGACCTTAATGACACCAATCATAACACAATGGAATCAGACAACCAATGATTGCTGGTTTTCCTAGACTTTTTTTTTCCTTTAGAGGGATCTGTCTATACTCTGCATCTCTTAAAGTGTGTCAGACACATAGGGTTTAGGTGATCCTGTGTCGACCTTCATTTGTCACTGAAAATTTAAGATTAAACTTTCATGATGATCAAATATGCATTTCTAACCAAAAATAAAGCTTCTGAAGAGCATTGGGACTTGTTTTCCCCCCATCATAGAATATCAGGGACAGAAGGGCATCTAGTCCAACCCCCTGCTCAAAGCAGAACCAATCCCCAGACAGATTTTTTGCCCTAGATCCCTAAATGGCCCCCTCAAGGACTGAACTCACAACCCTGGGTTTAGGAAGCCAATGCTCAAACCACTGAGCTATCCCTGCTCCCCAGTCGTGAAGCCACGATGGTAGGCAGGCTGCATTGAGCCCAAATAGTTTGTTCTATGGCTCCATCTCACTTTTTTGCCAATGGGACTATGGGCCTACTCCAGTTCCCTTCTGATTCAATGGAAGTTTTAGGAGTAGGTTTCCGAGTCAGCAAAGCAATTGTGTGATTATTTATATTGGGGTCGTGCTTACAGGCCTCAAACAGGTTGAGGCCACATTGTCTTACCCATTGTACAAGCATGTAATAAATGAGCATTTCGGCACGTAAGCATGTGCTTAACACCATTTGCTTTCAGCAAGGGCCTGATCCAAAGTCCACTGAAGAAAACTGGAGTCTTCAATGGGCTTTGAATATATGATTAAGTGATTAGATGAATTAGGGCCTACTTTCTGTTGGGAACAGGACTGGGACATGTATGTCAGACAAGATGATCAAAATGCTCCCTTATCATTAAAATATATGATTTGATATATTCATAGGTGCTGACTCCGTGGGTGCTCCAGCCCCAGAGCACCCACGGTACAAAATAGTGGGTGCTCAGCACCCACCGATGGGCCCTGCCAATCAGCTCCTTCCCCTTCCCCCAGCGCCTTCTGCCCACCAAAGGGCCTTGCTGATCAGCTCCTCCCCCTCCCACACACAGAGTATCAGCTGTTCAGTGGAGGGCAGGAGGCGCTGGGGGGAGAGGAGGGAGCGAGGTCAGGAAGCAGAAGTGTGAGGGCGGGGCATGCTTGGAGGAGGGGGTGGAATGGGGTGGGAAGAGGCAGGGCGGGGGCAGAGCAGGAAGAGGCAGGACCTTGGGGGAAGGGGTGGAGTGGGGGCGGGGCCTGAGGTGGAGTGGGGCGGGTGGTCGAGCACGCCTGGGAAATCAGAAAGTCAGCACCTCTGGATGCATCAATAGAAAACTAATATCCTAGAAAAGCTTCATTCACACTATCCAATAAATCCAGTCTATGGCAGTATTTCCAGGGACTCAGTGGGGGTTGGATTAGAACCCTAATATATTCTGTGTAAAAAGTAGAGTAATACTCTGCCTCTTTTCAAATATTCAGCTTTTCTGAGAGGTACAACAGAAAATATCCTCACCTCCGTCTCCAGGAACCTCCGCAAGGCCCTCTTCTTTTTGATGCTTTTCCGCCGAACATAAACGGCAAACGTCAGGCCCACAATGATGATGATAAAGAGTCCACCAATCACGCCTGCAGCAATCAGGGGGGTTCTACCAATCAGAATCAAAGACTTTAATGCAAGGCAGGGAAACAGAGCAAAGAACAGCTGCATGCATGAAATAAACCACCTGGAAATCTTATGAAGCGTATAGCTCTCAAAATGCAGTCATGTAAGATGATAAATCAAGGAAAGCTCATTAAGTGTGGCATTGCTTTCCATTATCACATCTAGGATATTATTTTTTAATGCAGACTTGTGAAGTCGTGGACAAGGAAACACAACATGCACTCTGATGGCAAATGCAAAGCTGCAATGGCAAAATGAGGATACATGTACCAGAAGCTTGTTCTGCAAGGAAGTTAACTAATCTGAGGTCTTCCTTTATCAATCCAACTGGATTAACTCTTCTTTTTTGCATATTTAAATTTAAAAAAATAACACTGAAATTATGAAAGACTAACTGATACCACTTTGGGCTGTGATCGTAAGTTAATCAAGGCTGGTTCTGAAAGAGGCACATCATTCCAGAGACATTGCGACATGGGGCGCTTCAGAGAGCGTGCTTAAGATACTGTACTGTTGGAGGTGTCATGTTTCAATGGAGATGTAAACCGAAGCCCTGATGTTTTTGCAAGAGTTAGGATGTTAGCTCCCAGTGTCGGTATAAATGTCACCTTAGGTAAATATCAGAGCTGTGCACAATTCAGCAGTTTTAGTTGATAAGTGTTCAGTGGATTGTACCCCCTAAGTTTTGCTGTGATATTTGGGTTCAAACAAATGCCAAAACTCAAATGATAGACAAAGACTGCCGAGTTAGGTCTTGTTTAAGGTTGAAACCATGTGACGCTGCCAAATTATGCATGGCTTGCACGCACAACCACAAATCCGTCCCTGGCCCCCACAACTCAGCACCAGCTGCACAAAAGGTTTGTGAACTTCTGAGGGGGAGTTCAGCCTCTTTCATCTGGTCATGGATTCCTTGGGAGTACACCAGACCTTTACGACCCTATTCCCCTAGCCTCTTAGTTCAACTCCAGCTAATCTCAAATCCCTATGTCGTATTCCTCCTGGATCTGGCAGCAAGGAGTACAGTTCTCCTTCAGCTCAAGGAGCATAAGGGAAGGAGTACCCCTTACGGCTTCTACTCCCTACACCTCAGCAGTCTCACTCCAGTCCAACCAGGGCTTCTGATCCTACATCTTGGGCAGCTTTCTGTAAGTATGCTGCTGATGCAGTGTAGTTTTCAGCTTCTCCAGCCACCCCTATCTCTCTCACCCCAACTCTTGCTGGTCAACCAAATAGCCACAGCTACTCTGTGCTGGAACCCCTTTGTGGCTGTAGTAGAGTAAGTTTTACACACCTCGTCACACGTAGTATTACCCTAGCCACTTTGAGCCCTTGTCATAGACCAGGGCCCCCACTGTGCTAGGCACTGTACAAAACACAGAACAAAAGATTGGACCTGCCCCAAATCGCTGCAAGTGTAAAACAAAAGACAACAGATAGACAAATGGTGAGTACAATATTGGTCAACATGGCAGGCTGTGGCCTCAGCACACCAGAAGCCTAACTGTTGTCAGCTTTCTGTAGGCACCATGGTAAAAGGAACATTTGGAGGAGGGATTTGAAGGAGGTTTACGAGATAGCTTTCCGAATGTTTATGAGGAGCTTCTCCAAAGCATAAGGGGCAGAATGAGAGAGAGCACAAAGATTCCTGTTTGAAAACAAGTGGGCAACTGGAGGTGGGAGTGGAAATCTCCATAGTGAATGAGAGAAGATAGGTAGGGTAGGGATAGTCTGGAAAGACCTTTTAAAGTAAGACAAGTAGTGCATCTTTGATGCGATAAAGAAGGGGGAGTCAGTGGAGGGATGCAAAGAGAGGGGTGACATGGTCAAAGTGATGGGCTAGCAAAATGATCTTTGCAGGGGCATTCTGAATGCATACGAGCAGGATAAGATTGCATTTGTCAAGGCCAGAGAAAAGGGTGTTGCAGTAGTCAAGATGTGAGATGCATTCCTGGCTGAGAGTTTTAGCTGAGTAGATGGATATGAAAGGCCGTATCTTAGAGATGTTACGTAGAAAGAATCTGAAAGACTAAGATATTGCCTGAATGTGAGGACCTTGACAGAGATCTGAAACTAAAGATGACACCCAGAATATGGGCCCGAGTGACAGGCAGGATGGTGGTGCTGTCCACGTGATATAGAAAGGAGGTTGCGGGGAGGACTTGAAGGGACAAGTAAGCTCTGTTTTAGGCATTTTAAATTTGAGCTGATGGTTAGACATCCATGAGGAAATGTCAGAGACAGACCAATACTTGAATTTGGACAGACGGAGACATCTGGAGTAGAGAGGTAGAGCTCAGTTCTCAGCATAGAGATGGTAGCTTAATTTGTGTTTGTGGATGATCTTACCCAGATATAAGGTGTAGAGAGGGAGACGAGAAGGGACCAAAGATGGAGCCATGTGGAATTCCCTCAGAATGCTGGAGGGGAGATTATGGGGGTTCTCCAAAGGACACGCTGAAGGAGCTATTAGAGAGGTGAAAAGACAGAGTCATGGAAGCCAAGCAAGGACAAGATTTCACGAAGACTATGGTCAGCTGTGCCAAAGGTGCTAAAGGTGGCTGATAGGTCAAGGAGGATGAGGATAAGTTCTGAGGTTCCGCTAGAAAGAGGCAACTGTAAATTTTGGCGAGAGCGGTTTCTGTGGAGCCCAAGGGGCAGAAGCTGGATTGGAGAGGGTCTAGGATGGAATTTGAGGAGAGGAACTCCAGACAGTAACAATAAACAGTGCATTCAATGAGCTTAGAAATGAAAGGGCAAAGGGGCAATATTTGGAAAGGCAAGCGGGGTCAAGGATGGGTTATTTTAAAATGGGAGAGACTAAAGCATGCCCATATTTTGAGAGGAAAGAGCCAGGGGAGAGCAAAGGGTTAAGGAGATGGGTAAGGGAGGGGATGAGGGAGGGCACAAGGAAGATCAGGAGTTGGGATGGAGGTCATTGGCTCATGTAGAGTGATTAGAGTAGGAGAGCAGACAAGAAACTTCTGAATCTGTGGCAGAAGAGAAGGAGGGAAGAGTTGTAGGAAGGGAGAGGGAAGGTTGTATCATTCTTTGTCAATTATCTCTTTGAAGAAATTGGTGAGATCCTATGTGGAGAGAGAAGTGGAGGCAGAAGAGTTTGAGGAATGAGCCAAAGATGGCAAAACATGACTGGGATTGAGGACATGGTATTCAATGCAGTTGGAGAAGTAGAGTTGTTTAGCTAGGAAGACAGGAGATCTAAAGGAAGAGAGAATGAATTTGTAGTGGAGGAAGTCAGCCTGGGTCATATGATTTCCACCACAGAGAGTCTGCATTGGGAGAGCGGGAATGGAAGCAGATGTTGGGGAATGAGGCAGGGTTGGGGGTTGGCATGGCAGACTTTCCGAATGGAGAGGAGACAAAAGAGAAATGGGTGAAGGAGAACGAGGGATGAAGAGAATCAATGGAAGAAAAGAAAGAGGAGGAGAGAACTGAAAGCAGACAAGGAGTCATCAATGCAATAGATGGGACGTCACAGAAAGGCTAAGTGACAAGGCGAGAGAGAAAGAGTTGATGGACAATGCTGAAGGAGACCAGGTGATGGTCAACAAGGGGAAATTTAAACACCGAGAGATTAGAGAGAGTAGTGTTGTGACCTGGTGAAAGTTCCAGGTGTTTAAGAAAACATGAAATCATTTTGTTGCGTTTTAGGTGTCGTTATGAAAGGTTCACACAGCTTGATATTACATTCTGCCTGCCTAAATGTCTCCTTTCTTTTCAAATGGATACAAATCAGCTGTAGAACATTGCTAATGTTGTTATGCAATGACAGCCCAGTTCCCCCACAGACATGGCCACTTTTCAGTCCTGTGTGAAGTGGTCCACACATACACACACACACCCCTTTCCCAGACCTCAAGAGCAGCTCTGTGTGTTGAAAGCTTGTCCTCTCGCCAACAGAAGTTGGTCCAATAACAGATATTACCTCACTCATCTTGTGTCTCTAGTTTTATAAATACGTTTTCACAAAAGTCTAATTTAATAGCTAGAAATCAAGCTGTGAGGTGTTGCAGCTCCTCATCCATTACCTCTGCTCTTACTATAGTATTTTATTATTTCCGTAGGTAGACACTCTCATTAAAAAGACATTTAGATCTTAATATTTCTCATATAAATAACAAAACAAAAGCTCTCCCAAAGGGGGTTCTGAAAAAGTGACACTAGGTGAAGCTGTCAATTGGACAATGATCAAAGATTTTTTTGTGAAGACCTTTCTCTACAAGAGCACTCCTGCACTATACACAGGTGACACTGAAAGAATGCTTATGGCCTATTAATATCATGCTGTACTGCTGTTGAAAATTGACAGGAGTTTTACACTGAGTATCCTGCTGAAAATCCCAATGGATTCCTCCAATTGCTTCCTACCACAAATCTGACCAGTCACAAGTACTGTATCAAATTCAGATAGCAGAAATTTAAATCTGCCAAATTTAAATTGCGAGATTTGAGTAATAAAGCTCCATGTTTAAATGTTCACTATCATGCTCACCCATAGGAAAGTGACTAATCCTTAGGTGCTTAACGCATTACTTAGGTATTCAAATATTTGAAGGCAATCCAAATCAAGTCTCAAGACCTCAGACATTTGCATGTGTTATTCAAAACTTCTGAGTGTAAACACCCAACTCATTATTATGCCCCCAAAAGTGGCATAGTAGAGATCATGTGGGACTTGAAACAAGCATTGCTAAGTGTTACCCAATAAGACTTAAGTAATAAAACTGGGGTAGGTTTTGCTTTGGAACGGAATAGTAAACATTTCCTTCACTGTAATAGTACTTCATTTACAGCGCCACCATCATGACTTAAAAGTCATATAATCTCGCAAACATTACAGAGGGAAAGAGATATTGGGATCATCCTGTTCATCTTCCTGCCCATGCTGAGTTCCTCCCCAGAGTCAAATGTCAAGTGCTTTCTCCTGTTTTAAATGACAAGTCTTTTGACTCCATCACTTTT